TTCTTGTAATTTTAAGTCAATTTCTTTTTTTCATTCTACATCTTTTTTATTATGCAAAAATTAGCGCTTTTTTTTTTGTTTTTTTTGCATTTTACTTAGTGTTGTGTGTTTTTGCTTTGTTTCCCGTTTGGTTGCTGGGATCTTGTTAAAGGTCTAATACTGACACCCAAAGATGTCGTGTGGCAGAAAGCTTAAATAAAATGTTTTAAATTTGAAACCAAAGTTTGAGTAAATATATCAGTGCAATGGTATGCACTCCATTGTTTTTGAAGGTAATTTAAACATAGTGATATATTCTGTGTATCTCGATTAATTATCCTATGAAGTTAAGATTTTCTTAAGATCATCCAGCCCTATAGTTTGGAAGAAGTTTAGACAAACCTCCAAGGACAAAAACCCCATCTATAGTGTCTATGGTTAGACATAACATAAATGTACCATTTAGAACGATGTGAAAAAAAGTTTTGACAATGACAGATAAGTCAGATAAGTGGTTCTCCTAACTGTCAATCCTTCAGGTGATATGTTTACGTAAGGCTGTCCTATGTGCTCAGGCCGTTAGAGCAATATTTTCTGCGCACTTTCAAGCGTATATCTGTGGTGAGCTACGGTTTCAGACAAACAAAGATGGCGCAGGCACCGCACGGAGGAGGACTTACATGACCAACGGAGCAAAAAGCAGTGATTATCTGTCTGAACGGTCAGTTAAGTGAGTTCACAATAAAGTGCAAGAGATTATTGTATTATGTATTGCCTCCTATTCATTCTGACAGCAGCTTGAACTGTGGTCTGACCTAGGATGGCTGCCCCCAAGGCACGTTTATAGACATTAGAGTAGACCCAGCATTGAGTGTACAGGCGCCATCTTGGGGAGGTCGACCTGCTACCCTAACCTGCTGCTTTAAAGGTACACTATGCAACCGGTGTTGATTTTCCAGCGAGGCTACCCCCAGAGGGCGAAAATAAAAGTGCACTGTCGTAAATATGCTCAGCTGTTCTCCTGGTTTCTCCATCAAGCCAGGCGCGGTTGTTTTGAGCTTAGCAGCGAATGACTAATGCTGCGTTCACACTGGACGTAGCTGGCGCGACAGAAGCAGCGAGTTTACATGCAAAGTCAATGGTTGACGCGCGTCAAGGCGCAGCAAAAGGTCCAGCGGCGCGTTTTGAGCTGCAGGCGCAGCATGTCTGAGCAGCTGAAGCAGCGCATCGGGCGCGTTTAACGCAGGGAGAGAGACACAGCGCTGATGATCACTCCTCTTAAACAGTTTATTGACGCCTAAATTAACTTAAAATGCAGAAATCTGCCGGCAGAATATGCAGTTTGGATTATTTAGATGAAAAACACCTACCAGCTGCCACGGTGAACCGCTGCTGATGAAGGGATTCCTACTGTCGGCGCATCCCTGGTATGTGGGGGTCTGAGCGGCTCCGACAGAAAAAATATTGAAGGCAGGATAATAATCTGAATGAACTGACGGCACTGATTACGTTTTCAGGTGTATTTTCTCACTTAAACACATTAAAACTACTTTATTCCCACTGATCACAGCAAATATAGCTGCAAGGCAGAGAAAGGTTAGTGAAGCTCCGCCCAACGCGCCTCAGACACACTTTTGCACCGCGCAGCCAGAGCAGCAAAGCTGCTTCAGCCGCGCGTCAGAACTAACTGGTACAAGCAGCAAAAAGGAAGCAGCAGACGTGCTTTTGCTGCGTGAACGTAGCATTACTGCACAAAGATCGCCACTGTGCTAGCAACGAGCATGCTTTTAACTGGGGGGGTGTAGCAGTTCTCGGCCTAAAGCAAGACTGACTCTCGCGAGACTTCTGAGCCTGTGGGTGCGGGTCGGTGCTCCTGCAATTGCAAGTGCAGTATTTCCCCCACAGGCCACCAGGGCGGCCGAGAATACCTTTGTTCAACCTGAAATGACTCATTTAATCACCCATAACGTTATGGAACACATTAATTAACTGAAAAATGTTGCATAGTGTCCCTTTAAGCAGAACAGAAGAAGGATGCCTCAGCACTGCAATGGATTTTTGTCTAAACCAACAGGCTGTTAACATCAGAGCTCGAGGGATAACTTCATAAAGGCATCAGAGCTTTGGAAGACATTACTAAATAAACAGCAGATATACACTAGATAGAAACTCTCTTTGTTGTCCCACAGTGGGTAAATCGTCGTGTTCCAGCCGCAAAAGATTACAGCAAAAGTTGTCACACAAATTTGGACCTTATAAAGTGCATAAAAATAATAGAATAAGTGACAGAGTAAAAAATAAAAATAAATCGAACCCAATTTTATTAGTTAAGCACGTAAAAACAACCACCGCTGATCAAAGTACTGTAAATAATACATAAAACACTATAAATAAAAAGCAAAACAGCTAAAACATGGGTAAAAATAATATTCACATAAAACACAAAAAAATGAATATAAACAAAAAAAATGTTTTTACAAATATAAATACAGCGCATCTGAATAATAAATAAATATACAACTATGGACATTTTTACAGTATATATATATATATATATATATATAATTGACACCTGTATAAGTAGTTACTGCATACATCTTAGCAGAATAATCTATTACTCTTTACTCCACTAAGAATATTCAAATAAACTGAATCATTTGCTTGTTTTCAGCAAAAAAAACTATGAAAATTAGTTCAATATTCAAAAAGTTCAAGTTGATTAGATTTGATCCTGCTCAACAATTACACTGAGCGGAGCTGTCGACCGCCCCAAGATGGCGCCACCGAATCATGTCAGTGCTCATGGATAAAAGCGGACTACTATTATATTATGTCTAATGGCACAGTCTCCCTGCGTCCACTGAGGCGTATTGTCCATTGGCGACATTTTCAAAAAAACCAACCTGAACCAAAACCAAACATTTCTTCCGAAACATTTTTATTCGCTTATCTGTTTAGAATATTTCTTTATAAACATGTTTTGCCCACTGACCTGCTCATAGCTGTAAGCGAAGATGTACTCTTCTTGGTTGTTAACAGGGTCGTTTCAGCTCTCAGACACTTTATTGGAAGCTTGTTTCCAGAGTTACACAACCAGCGGGTTATTCAAGCCGCCATGCTTTGTGGCTCTCTGAGCTGCTGAACGGTCCGACAAACTGTAACCCGGTAATTTGGTTCCGTTCGGAACAAATAAGTAATTTACAGCCCTGAAGCCCAGCGAGCACAGCTGAATGAGTCAGGTCCGGTCCGACGTGAGCACCACTGGGCAGAGGGGTCGCAGAGGAAGGCGTTACGAAGAAGCAGCTAACACTAATCTACATCCGGTTAAAGGGTTTCAAAATAAAGTTGTTGTTTTTTTTCCCCTCAACACCAGTGTGATAAATCAGCTGCAGTGTTAACCTTACATTTATAGTGAAAGGTAAAGTATTTCTTTTTCCTGTTAATTTCCCTCACTTGTGCACTTCCGGGACACGGGGCTTCTGCCTTTCCCGCCAGTTGAGAATAAACCATTCCCCGTTTGAGGTAGGGGGCGAATTAAAATAAAGTGCCTCGAAAAAACTTTTAAGTACATTTAAATATACTTATGATTTTTACTGTCCCAGAGAAAATCTTCATATCATCCCAGGCAAAACATAATATCAGGGTAATATTTCAATTTAGCTTTTTTGTAAGAAGCCTGACCTCTGCCAAGTTATGAATCCAGCAAAAATGATTTATTGGAAAAGGGCCAGACAAATGATCTGCCACCATCAACTCCGGAAGTAGTATTTGTAGTGGTGTATATATATATATATATATATATATATATAATATATATATATATATATATATATATATATATATATATATATATATATATATATATATATATATATATATATATATATATATATATAGTCAGGTCCTCTGGTCCCTGGACCTCTGGTCCCTCGGTATAACGGGATCTATTCCACTGTTAATGATGGGGATTTCGCTCTGGTGATGGATGGCTGATGAAATAGAAAATTAAAAAATCATGCTCTGATCTATGTGTTCCAGGTCGGATCCATGCAAAGCCTGCTTTGACATTCACAGGCTGATCTGAGTCATTTGCTTTGCTCAATTAAGGCCAAAGCTAACCTCTTTTAATCCTAAACTTATTTTAAAGTTTAAGATTAGTTAAATTGCTAGTTAAATTGCCAAGAACTGTGAAAAACAATTTAAACCTTTTTACAAAATCAACAACAAACAACAAAGAAATTAGTGTTGACAAAATAAATTGCAGGTAAGGTAAGGCTGCAACAACATTAGCATTTGAAGTATCCAGTTAGTTAAAGACATTAAGGCTTTATAGACTTTAACTGGAAAACAGCATGCAAATAACACCACAATGGCCTGGGAATGGCTCGTTAGGGAAGTATGTAGCTCTGATGCGAAGAAGCAGTTTTAAATCGTTTCTGAAAAAAATCCTATTTTATAAACTCTTAAAAACAAATCTCAAAGTTTGATTGATCTTAAAAATAAAACACCCTAAAGATAAATACTATTGGTAAGAGATGAGAGTGGCTTCGCTTTTACTAACAGGCCTCAAAATGGCTGCATTGGTTCCTCTTTCAAGATTAAACAATCTTACAATTTACGAGATCTTCCAATCTTTTCAAAATAAATAAATAAAAACTAATCTACATGCTTAAACCGCTCTATAATTAAAGACACGTTTAAGATTAGTTCAATCTCAGGCCTTGTTGCATTAGAAGCTGCAGCTAAGAAGCTATACACAGGTAATAACTGGTTAAATTGCCAAGAACTGTGAAAAACAACAAAGCCTGCATGTTTGGTATCATTTTAAAGCAGATAAGCTAACCAACAAATATATGCCAGGGACAAGATAAATAAATTCTAATAGTTTAATTTATCTTTAAAAATAAAAATCGATAAATAATGTTAAGGTGAAGCCATACCTTGAAAACACTGGTAGTGGCTCCCCCCTTGGTCAACGCCCCTCGGGTAAGACTGGGGGGTTGGGGGGGTCTTCTAGCCTTTATACATGGTCTGCAGCCACTCATTCCTACATTCTTTTTCTCTTTTTTTTCAAGAAGGCAAGACAAGAGGACAACACAAGAACAACATGGAGGCTTCATAGTAAGTAGAAATCTGTTTTGGCTTAAAGTTTACACACTCTGAGATGTTTCTTAGTAGGAAATGCTAGTTTACTTATGCAGAGCTTTGCTCTGGCTTTACTTTTTTTTTTTTAAACATCATAATATGTATCCTACCATGGTTTTGTGTATTGACTAAGTTTAACTGATCTATTCCTCTTGCGGTACATTAGTTTAAAAATGTAAGTGGCAAGAAATAAATACCTTAAGATTGTTAAATCTGTTTCAAGAACCAAACCTCAAAATGGCTGCAAGGAAGACTAAGTTTAGTGGGTGTATTTTCTGTTTTCAGTGCTGCAAACAGGACTTACCTGCTGTGCCCTGTGTGCAAGAAGACCTGGCCAGCACTCTCACAGCACCTGACAAGAACCTGCATGAAGCGCAATCTGCAGGATATCCCAGGTGCTGTGGCAAAGGCTAAGACAGATGCCCATGAAATCCTGGTTTCAGGGCGTGTCTTCACCTTTGACCAGATCCAAAACATCATGAGGACTGCACGTGCATTACACAAGTATGAAAGATAATTTTATCAGAACTTTATAGTCATGTACTCATATGCCAAATACCGGAACCCAGTCTGTATCTTTTTATTTAATTTCAGCATGATTGAAGAGCTGCAGACGCGGCATTTCGTGGTGCGAGGCATCCCGTCCGACTTCTACCACAGTGCTGCCGGGCAGCAACCTGGAGGTTATCTGGCTCAGCAACTTTCAGGTTGGGCTGCAGCTGAGCAGAGTGACAAGTCTGAAGGAGTGGGAAGCAGCAGCAGTGATGAGACTTTTCAAGAGTACGGCTAAAACATCATGCTAGATATTTTTTAGCACAGCAACAAAAGTCAAAGCAAGAAACGCATTCTTCTAAACTCCTTTTTCTGCATTGCAGTGAGCCAAATGCTGGGTGGCAAACCGACAAAAGACAACAGATGCTTGATAGGGGTCTTTACGACAAGCACTCCAGGGATCACAAATTGCTCAGAGACTATGCTAGATATCTCCACAAAAAACGGCAGATTGAGAATTACACACAAGATGTAAGGACTACTCTCTTATTGTGACATTTTCTGAGCTGTGGTTCAGCACATGTAAAAAGCTCACTGTTGAACCAATTCACGTTATTAAATATGCAATTATTTTCAGGTGGCCAATGTAGCAAGATACCTGTACTACATGGACCCCAAGGAACCTTCTCTTCAATTTGTCCTGAACAAAGAGAAGACCCAGCAGTACCTCAGGGACCTGACCCAAGCCGGCCTAATGAAGCAGACGCAGATCAACTATCTGAAAAACCTCAAACGGTTAGTTTCTGTTTATATTTATGCAGGTGTATTTTTGAATCTCTGAGAATGCCATTGTTGTTTGTATATTATTCAAATGCATGTTTATTTCCCCTTTCAGTTTCCTGAAATTCCACACCTATCACACTGACCTGAAGAAGCGCGACCCCAAGCTTCATGGCCACTGTGTGGATTTCATTGAGTTCTTGGGTTTGCAACAGGGGACTTTATCCAAACAAGTGAGCAAGGGAGCTGGTAAGAAAGAGGTAGGTTAAACACATACAAGGAGGTAAAAAAAAAAAGAAATATAAATGCAAAAACCTGATTGGGAATCAGTAAAATTTCTAATCTACAGGCTCCCTTTAACAGCATTTAAAGATTTCGAAAGGAATCATAGTATTTAAAATAACGAAGAAGCTTAAATTTAAAAAAACTGTTTCACAACCTGTTAATTCTTTGCTTTCACCTTCATGAAAGAACGCAATGATTCATTTTCCTTTTTGTTTTTTAACAGGCATAGATCTTTATCTACAGACTCTCAACTTGCTCCAAAGATGTGGCTTTGCTGAAGACTGCAAAGACGGACTTTTTGACGGTCATTTGCAAATGAAACCCAACTCACCCCCCCAGAAATCACCCTTGTAGTCTACTACCTTGTTTTTTGACTTTTTGTTCTCAGGTAAACACACAGTCAGCTACTTTCACCTTGTAACCGATAAAATGTGTATGGTTCAGTGAAAATACAACAAGCGTACGCTCGCCTGACACTCCACACCCGTCTTGACCGACTTCAGCATTGGGTTTTGTACATAGATATTGACAGTCTCATTTACGTGGTTAAACCAGGTGAGACTCCCTTGGAGCTGGGGGATTATCTGAGTGATTTAACGGATTAGCTGGGAGGCAATACGATTCAGAAATTTGCATCAACAAGAACCAAAAAGCTTTGCATATCAGACCAGAAACAGGAAAAAGGTTGTGATGCACGTAAAAGCCATCACTTAAAGTCAGGAATGTAGTGATAGTGTGAAAGACCTGGTGGAAGGTTATTTACAAGGTTCTACAGGGGTCGTTTCAGAAGCTGCACAATGTACCATTAGGCGAGATAAAAAGCTTTCAGCTTAAAAATGCCACATTTCAGAAAAAGTTCCATGTGGTGCATGACAAGAGAAGGCTTTTTCCCGACGTAACAACTCTGCTGTTTGGTTACTAAGTGTTGTGAAAATGTTGGTCTCCTCTGAAACACAGGAGATTGACTTTGACCCAAGATTCAGAACACCCTTTTCATGAATGCTTGTAGGCCCAAGTGGATGTGGAAAATATTTCTTTGTAAAACCTGTTTTGCAGATATGTAACCATGTCATGGATGTTGTACCAGAAAATATTGTGTGGATTTATACTTCTTTTCAAAGTCTGTATGCTGAATTGCAACAAATGAATAAAAAGATTAAATTCATCGAGGGGTTACCTCATTCTTTTGATGATAAAAATCGGTTTCCTCGCGACCAAAATCATTTGGTCATTTTGATCACTGTCATTTTCCAGGCTTAGGAGCATCCAGAAGGGGTCAAGATTTTTACACAATACAGACATCATAGAAAAAGGAGTGTGATGATGTTGACTCAGAACAGAAGTACAGCCAAAACATGCAAAGGCAGAAAAACATCATCAGGCTGCTGGCTGATAAAAGAACAGGGTTAAAATCCAAGCAGTTGGCTCTGAAAAATCAGACGGGTGGCTTTGTTCTCCCCCTGCTCAGAATTGTAGCGCCTTTAATCAGAGAGCGAAATACTGAATGAAATGGGACTGAGTTCTTATGAGACAATGTCAGCAGGAGGAACCCCAAGTCACAGTAACCCCGAAATTCCACATCCTCCGTCACCGCTCCGCTCTGCCCCGCTGCGCTCCAGACCGTCTGAGCAAAGCAAAGCCTACATCATCCGCTGTTCCTCCTGTCTTGCTCCTCTCTGACTTTCTCGGAGTTTGAGGAGAACATGCTCTATATTATTACATTCAAAGCAGCAAAACAGGGTTTCCGCGGATCATTACAAATATAGGCCTTAATTGGTACTAATTAAATATGATTATCATGGCATTTGAAATGCTTTATTTAAAAAAAAAATGTTTATGAAGACAATTTCGTCAGATATATTATATCGCAATTAATTTGTGCATAACTGCATAACTGCTGATCATAAAGCGGTATGTTTGGAAAAGAAGCTCGACGCTGAGAAAAAGCTAGAGAATGGGAAAATGCTAATTTTAACTGGAAAACAAGGAATTCGGGATATGGCTGATGATTTTGTTGTTTTCTCTGTCTGTCTGTCTGTCTGTCTGTCTGTCTGTCTGTCTGTCTGTCTGTCTGTCTGTCTATCTATCTATCTCTCTATATAGATATATATGTACATATATACATAGCAGAGTCATGGAACTCTGCTTACAGCTCCTTCATATTTCATGTACACTAATAACTTGTGTACATGGTACGTGTTGATGGAATTAAAATAATTTCTAAAAGCATTAAAAGAGCATTCATTTAGAGTGACTCATTCCTGTATAAATCCTGTGAAAGCATACTTTAATATGACATATTAAAAAAAAACCCTACCAGCATCCAGCATATGTTCAGTTTCTGCCAATTTATTTTCTTTTTGTTTTAGATTTTTTGTATAAGGGATAACTAGTTAGTACTATGTTTTGTATAAACCATGTTTGTTCTCTGCTTCCAAACTTAGCATCTTTTGATCCATTCAAGCAATAAGAACTGTCTTTTTAAGTTGTGAGAGGCGCTCTTAGAAGTTTTGACTGGATTTGATTAAACTTTTAAGCATCTCAGTGTAAAATATATATTTCGATGGAGATGATAAATCGGCTTCCTGGTTTGTTGAAGTACCAATAGTTTGCATCCAATCATTTAACTAAATGCTCTTAGTTTTTAGGAATATATAAGAATTTTGCTCTAAAGTTTAGTTACCGATCTGTTGATACTATATTTTAATTTGACAAACCGGATCTTCTCGCAGTTCTTTTTCTTTTTTGGCGAGATTGCAATAGCGGATCTTGACCTGGCCGGACTGGAGTGGAGTAAAAAAATCACTCTGATCTGTATTTTGGCGGAGAAGGACGGAGACGAGCGGAGGACTAGCGGTGGATATGGAACAGCTCTCATTGATTAACATGACAGACTCGGCATGACGTACATGAGCTGGGCAGAGCACTGACGGAGTATGTGGAATCTGGGGGTAACACTGAAGCGTGACCCCATGCAGGCTCAACACCAGGGATGGCCCAACCTTTTTTAAACCAAGATCTACTTTTGAAGTTGATGGCATGTTGAGATCTACCAAGCCAAACACAAGGGATGGGCAGTATTTGTTTTTTATTTGCACAGGTGGAGAATAAACAGTAAGTCCAACAAACGGGGAAATTATCAATTGTGTCAAAAAATAGGTTGCAAAAACAGAACTTAACAATCTCATAAGAACTTACGCCATATCACTCACTCACTCACTCACTCACTCACTCACTCACTCACTCACTCACTCACTCACTCACTCACTCACTCACTCACTCACTCACTCACTCACTCACTCACTCACCAAAACTATAGAAAAGAGCAGTCAAGATCTCCAGACAAAGGCTGTGCAGTCAAAAAATCTAAATACACGAATTGATACACACACACAGAGTACAGTAGAGAGAAAACAAAAAACGTTAGAACTGTAAATTTACAGTCATATGTTTATATATATATATATATATATATGTATATATATATATATATATATATATATATATATATATATATATATATATATATATATATATATATATATATATATATATTTTTTTTTTTTTTTTACTACTTTTCAAGGCTGCACTTTAAAAATAGATGAAATTGTCCAGAGAGCTGTTCCAAACTAAATTTCCTTTTTGTTTTACACTTGTGTAAACAAAATGACAAATAAAATCTGTCTAAGATCACTTTAAAGCAGGAAGAAGGAGAAGGGAAGTCCACTATTTCAGAATGATAAACTTCACTGAGCATTGGCATTGGCAGAGAAACTGGCAGATGGATTAAAATTCAACAGGAAAACAGATAAAAATAGGAAAATACTAAGTACAAACTATGTGGATGTGAAGATGTAACATACAGCATGTAGCAGCTCCCCAGCATGTGAATTAAATTTGAGCGGTCTCGACGGGTGATTTTCAATGTTGTTTATTTTCTTTGATGTGGATCATCTCAGTCACCATTGTCACAGTGAAAACTAAACAAATACAAATATTAGAATATAAACATAAACTTACAACACACAAACAACAAAATAAAACGTACCTCGCTGCTTTCACCAGGGAATGCTAAGAATCACAGTGCAAGCACAGCTCTGACGGTTATTGTCGGCATTCATTGATACAGCGTTTTGCCGGCCTTTATAGGGCCTGTCCTCATTGAGCTACGGCAGCCCGTGAGGTACATAACAAAGGAAATTTTACAACATGCGAATACAATAAACAAAACAAAATACAAAACAGTGGTAATCAAAACAGAAAAATAATATCAAACAATCTGCAATCCTATAAACAATTTACAATAAATATATCCTATAAATAGTTAAATATAAATAATTTACAATAAATAGTTACAAGTTTAAATAGTTAAAGGAATAGTACACCCAAAACATGATTAGCCTTCATTTTCTACTCACCCCCATGCTGAACAAAACTCTGGAGTACTTTTTTGATATCTCAAATGCATCTGGAGATCTGGGAGGCTTCTTGCTGTCTGCTGACATTCAAATAATGGAGGTCTATGGCGCCCGAGGCAGAAAGGTCCATAAAAGTCCACAAAAAACGTGTCAATATTCCTCCAACCTGCTCGTCCAATGTATTCCAAGTGTCCTGAGTTGGTAGCGTCCATAATTTACTCGAAACGAAGTCATTTAGAATGTTTTTAGGGCATAAACAGTAGTGTATAGGATTTCCTCTGTGTACAAATCTTTGGTTACCTCACCGATCTAAATGTGGATTAGCTGCCCCAATGATACTCCAACCCAGAGCAGTTTTCTGAGCAAAGGGTTAATTTTCCCCACCAACAACAACTTCCAAGGGAGCCAAGGCAGAAGGACAGTCAAACCCAATTAATAAACCTACTTCACAGTCTTGTAAAGCAGCCATTTTTCCAGCCAGATGTTTAAGGTGAGGTCACTGTAATGCTGTACTTCTACTTGGTATGCAAGATGTATCAACAGGAATGAAGTCACGTGTGTATGCTTGAAAAAGCTCCTAATCTGTAAGTCAGACACAATTTCACTTGAAACAGGTGTATCATCAGAAACCATAGTACTAAGTTTTAACTGTACTGGTTTTGTTTCAACAGTCAAGTTTTTCACAAGATCTTCTAGGACAAAGGAGGAGTCACTCTAAGTATCTAGGAGTGCATAAGTAAGTATTTCCTTCCCAGGATCCTTCACAGAGGACAAAAAAACTGGAACAGTACTCGATGTCGCAGAAATGTTTCGGGTGAGTGCATGACACAAAACACTGCGAGAAACCTGAGGTGTTTCTTCTGAAGAGATGGAACACTGCTGAGCAGCATCCTGAGATCTTACTCTCTCCTGGTGCAAACAAGTAGGATTATGCCGTCTACACTCTCCACAAACATGGCGTGTTTTACAATCTTTCGATAAATGGCCCTTTCTCAAGCATCCAAAACAAAGATGGTTCTGATGTATAAATGACCTTTTGTCTTCCATTGATTTAACTGTAAATTTAGGGCATTTAGCAACACTGTGCGACATGTCTGTACAAATCAAACAAGGCAGTTTAGATTTCATAACATGAACTTTCTTGTTTCTTGAACTCCGTACTGGTACTAAAAGCTTTTACTTTCCTGGAAAGATCATTTGAAGAAGTTCTAGACTTTAACAAAAATGGAGAAGCAATAGGATTACATGCTATGCGTGCTTCCTTTTTTATGAATCTAGAAAAACATTCAAAAGATGGATATTCCCCACATGCATCAAGTACTTCAACAACAACTCTGCTCCATTTACGTACAACCCAGTCTGGTAACTTCTTCAACATCTTATGATTTTCTTCGCAATCATTTAAGATAGACAGTCCTTTAACTTGAGGCATCGCCTCTTCACAACTTTTCAAAAAGTCTGCAAAATCTCTGAGAGATGATGGATCATTTGGTGCAATCTTAGGCCATGACTTAAGTTTATCCCTAAATGCTTTCTGAATTACAAACGAGTTTCCATATCTCTCCTGAAGAACTGCCCATGCACCTTCATATGCATCTTCAGAACTTCTGTAAAAGAAACCTTCTACAGCCTTTCGGGCTTTTCCAGAGAGATAACTTTTCAGATACAACATTTTTTCTCCAGCAGAGATGGCCTTTGAATCA